CTGCTTCAGTCCTCGTATTCGGTGGTAACATACAATTTTCAACCGGACAGTGACTCGAGAACGTTTAGATACAGTCGGAATTCCACCAAAGACGAGCCGCTGTATAAGTATAAAAGAGGGTGAATAATGTGGAAAATAATAATAATAATGATAATAATAACAATAATGACAATAATAGTAGTAATAATAATATTAGTATTAATAATGACAATAATTGAAGTGATCATAATTTGAATCAATTGATTGTTTTTCAACGCGACAAAAGTAGTTTCCATAGACATAAACAGTTCATCATTTGTGTGTGGGCTGTGATACTGCCCGGGTGCCCAAACCGAAGCAGGTGGTTATCTTAGGGGGCCACTCCCCGAGCCTTTGACCTAAAGGTCTAACCCACAAGGCAGTGGAGCATCGTAAGGAGATGCAGTCCCATGGTAGCCGGTGACCAACGATTGGTTCATACGCCATTCGTTCCCGCAGGATACTGGAGCCCATGTGCACCATTGGTTTGGAATCCGGTTAAAGCGCCGGACATTCGCTTCTCGTCCTCTCATTTTCGTAAACAACACCCCCGCCACGAGAAGGCAATGAGTAGGACTTCCCTGGCAGAGGCTATATACGCGTGGCCGTGTGAGAGTATTTCGAGAGGGAGAGCGGACTCTCCCCACTCTCGGCCGTACCAGGGCATTCAGGGGGCATTTTAACCCCTAACCCTATGGACGAGTTTCTATACAATATGCATTATTAATTCAGAACTTCTGAAACTTTATCAAACCTTAACAAGTTCTTAAATCATGTAAAAGAATATCCACTATAATTCATTACTTTCTTGTAATATATTTTTACTTTATACTGTCTTCTGATTGGCTAATAATTGAAATTGCTCAAACGCTTCTCATTGGCTCGTCCCTAAATTATAGTTTCGTCGTCCCATCTGTTGTAACCTCTCATTAATCACCTACTGTCTAATATCCGCTGTGAACCGATTGTATGTTAGCAGCGCGTGTTGAACTTGGCTCCGTGACCTTGAAAGTGCTCAAACGCTTCTGATTGGCTCGTCCCTAAATTAGAGTCTCGCCGAAACAACTGTTTTCTTGTCCGTCTTGCTTTCAGCTGGCTTCGAAGGTTTAATCAGATGTAACTGTATAATCAAATGTCAAGATATGTGAAACGTTGATGACGTAGCAACAGTATGACAATGTTGTTAATAATGCGAAAAGAGAACTTACAGACCAAACCTAGTACAGTGACGCAACAACAGTAACTCGCGGTTTTATGTCCAACACTTTCAAACTGTTCTATGCACAGGTAGTCAAAATTCAAATGGTTCAAATGGTTGTGGACGGAATAGAAGAAGCTTTCGCTTAACAGGCTTCCGTGTCTAGTAACAGGGGATCACCAAATCCTACAGGCAGGAACCTAGGTATGTTAACAATAAAAGAGGAAAAGAAATTGGTAAATCATAGTGTGATGCTATCCTTGGTTCTTAAGAATAGGTCAAGTTGCCTCTTGAAGGACTCCTGAGAAGTCGCTCGGACTAGCTCGGCCGGCAGCGAATTCCAGCTTTTGACAACTCTTGAGGAGTAGAAGTTATGTCTACATTCCGTTTTGCTATGTTATGTCTCCAGTTTCTGGGTGTTACCCCTTAGGTTATTATTCGAACTAAGCTTAAGTAGGTGTTTAAGAGGATGTCCAGAAGTGTTAAGGATGCTATAAGCCATCAGAAGATCACCTCTATGACGCCTATACTCTAATGAGTAAAGGTCTAGTGAATGGAGGCGCTCTTCGCGAGGTTTAAATTTGAGTCCTCGAACTGATTTCGTGGCTCGCCGTTGGATACGCTCCACAGTGACCTTGTCCTTTTGGAGTGAGGGGGGAGTACTATGTTTCCGTACTCTGAATGGGGATGGATGAGACTATTGAAGATTGTATGGAAAGTTCGTCCGTCAAACTGTCCAAAAATGTGCTTCAACGTTGCCAGTGCAAGGCTTGCTCGTAAGGCATTTTTGTCACAGTTAGCGTAAGACTTCAAATCATGGGGCACCAGGACTCCTAAATCTTTTTCGACTTGGGATACTACCAGATAGGAAATTCCTAAGTTGTAACTGTAGTTTGCGACATGTCGCAGATGGACTACTTTACACTCTGAAGTGTTAAAGGTAGGTCCGTTATCGTCTGCCCAACTTTGAGGTCGAGTCAGATCATCCTGAAGTGCCTGTATATCGTCTTGGTTGCGTATCTCTATCCAAAGTTTCGCGTCATCGGCAAAAAGTAATAAGTCTGACGTTACCTGTTGAGGAAGATCGTTTATGTAGATCAAGAAGAGAAGAGGCCCTAGTACTGAGCCCTGGAGGACCCCACTAGGACATTCCATAGCCTGAGATAAAGTGAAATTAACCCTGACCTTAGGTATGAAGTAAGCCAATCGATTAAAGGTGGTCTGATACCTAGTCGTTTGAGCTTGTTGATAAGACACAAGTGGTTGACCTTATCAAAAACTTTTGAGAAATCAAGGTAAATGATATCAACCTTTCCCTTGCGATCGAGGATGCTTGTCCATCTGAACACCGCAGTCAGCAGGTTGGTTATACATGAGTAACCCTTCCTGAAACCATGCTGTTGGGGTGAGAAGAAATTTAAGGACAGTAGATGATGATAAATCGCACTCTTCGTTCGCTAAGCCACAAAAGATACTTCTGGGCGGAATACAAACAAACTGATAACAACATCGCATACATACAAAACAAACAAGTAAGGAACATATGCCCAAAGGCAATAAGAGAAGACAGGCTACAGTGCCAGATAAAGCTTATCGATAAGTTTTTCTCCGATCCGAAAAGCTTATGCCGTAACGCAACCTCTCTTCAACAAGTCAAAATTGGAGTTTTCCAACTGCTATGTCTTGATGGCCCGACCAAAAACGACATGACGCCACTGACCTGGCTGAACAGTACCCTCAGAAATTTCATGTACAACTCCATAAGACTTTCAGAATCTCAGCGCTGACATGGTGTACCGGGAACTGCGGCACCCCAGAATGCACTTCTGCTGGTTCGGATATGGTTCATTCTGCTATACTAAGGGAAGCAGCTTCAATCTTGGCAAGACCGCTTAGAGTGATGTTCTCATATTCGCGGTCAACTATATATGTATTACCGATAAGTTCAAACGATTAGGTATTAAATCACCTTTAATTGATTGGCTCACTTCAAACCTGAAACGTCAACCTTTTAAGGTCACGGTTAAATTCACTTTCTCTCAGATTGTTGAATATCCTAGTGGGATCCCTCAGGGTTCAGTACTAGGACCTCTTCTTTTCTTGATTTATATAAACGATCTTTCCCAACAGGTATCATCAGACTTATTGCTTTTTACTGATGATGTGAAACTTTGGAGAGAGGTATGCAAGCAAGAGTATAGACTGGAACTTCATGAGGATCTGATTCGACTTCAAAGTTGGGCGGATGACAACGGACTTATCTTTAACACTTTGAAGTGTAAGATAGACCAGCTGAGATATGTTGCAGTCTACAACTTAGGTAACTCTACTGTGGAGGTAACCCAAGTTGAAAAATATTCAGGAGTGTTGGTACCCTACGATTTTAATTCTCACGCTGACTGCGACAAAAGTGCCTTCCAAGCAAACATTGTACTGGTAACATTGAAGCGCATTTCAAGCCATTTCGACGAAAGAGCTTTCCACATTATCCTTAACAGTTTTATTCATCACCATTTAGAGTACGGAAACATAGTATTTTCTCCCTCACTCCAAAAGGATAAGGATACTCTGCAACATATCCAACGACGATCCACGGAACCAGTTCCGGGACTCAAATTCAAGCCTTACGAAGAGTATCTCTAACCACTGAACCTTTACCCATTAGAGTACAGGCGTCTTAGATGTGGCCTAATGGCGTACAGCATCCTAAATACTCCTGGATATCCCCTTAGATGCCCACTTAAGCTTAGTCCTAACACAAACATTAGGGCTAACAGCTAGAAACTGGAGACAATACAGCAGAACGAACTGTAGACACACCTTTCACTCCTTAAGAGTAGTCAAAAGATGGAATTCACTGCCAGCTGAGCTGGTCTGAGTGACTTCCTAGGAGTCCTTAAGAGAAAACGTGACATATTCTTAAGGACTAACGGAAGTATCTTACTATGATTCACCATTTTTTTCTTCATCTTTTATCGTTAATAGACCTAGGTTCCTTCCTGGAGGTATTGGGGATCCACCGCTACTAGATACAGAAGTCCATAAGGCGAAAGCTTTTTCTATTCCGTCAAAAACTATTTGAACCATATGAAAATACACAAACCCACAAATAATCACCAAACCGACTAGAATAAATTCAGTCAAGCGTATTGACTACCAACTTGAAACAGTGCCGACACAACAGGAAGTGAGCGTAAAGAAAACATTTGATTTATCCAAGCTCGTAAAAGGATATTGGATTAGGGATACGTTCTGGTATAATAATCTGGTATATATAATCTTCAATAGTTTCATCCATCCCCATTCAGAGTACGGAAACATAGTACTCCCCCCTCACTCCAAAAGGACAAGGTCACTGTGGAGCGTATCCAACGGCGAGCCACGAAGTCAGTTCGAGGACTCAAATTTAAACCTCGCGAAGAGCGCCTCCATTCACTAGACCTTTACTCATTAGAGTATAGGCGTCATAGAGGTGATCTTCTGATGGCTTATAGCATCCTTAACACTTCTGGACATCCTCTTAAACACCTACTTAAGCTTAGTTCGAATAATAACCTAAGGGGTAACACCCAGAAACTGGAGACATAACATAGCAAAACGGAATGTAGACATAACTTCTACTCCTCAAGAGTTGTCAAAAGCTGGAATTCGCTGCCGGCCGAGCTAGTCCGAGCGACTTCTCAGGAGTCCTTCAAGAGGCAACTTGACCTATTCTTAAGAACCAAGGATAGCATCACACTATGATTTACCAATTTCTTTTCCTCTTTTATTGTTAACATACCTAGGTTCCTGCCTGTAGGATTTGGTGATCCCCTGTTACTAGACACGGAAGCCTGTTAAGCGAAAGCTTCTTCTATTCCGTCCACAACCATTTGAACCATTTGAACCATTTGAACCATTTGACTAGTACGTTACAGTTGGTTTTTGGCAAGTAAAAGTTTTAATATAGACAGAACTCATTTGATTTCTCTACATAAAGTAAGGTAAGGATTAATTCATCTTTTGTCTTTGGATAAATGTTATCCATTATGTTGAGATAAGCTGATTAAGAAGTATTTTTGTAACCTACCCGAGCTCCCAAGTTTGGGGAAATTTTGAGGGAATCATCCAAGTCAAATGACCTTGACTGAGGTTAAAGAGGAATTTTGAGGTTTTTGTGCCATTTCTCTAAAGTCTTCTCAAAGTTTACTATGGCGGCTTCCTCAAAATTTTTCTGAAACTTCAAATTTTCCTCGAAATTGGGCGATTAACTATAGCCGATGTTTTGTTGGTCTTTATGTCGAATCTCTACATGAAAAACATGTGAAGGAGAATAATTATAGCCTAAAGTGCGTATAAAGTCATCAAAATGCATATTAATTAATATGCATATACTGTTTTATTTTATTTAAGTGAAATAAAACAGTATGGTTGTCAGAAAATGTATCAACTTTTATAATGATAATAAAATACCATATATTAAAATATGAGGGGTTTTTCCCTGAAATTTCCCTAAACTCCAAGGAAAACTAAGAATTTTCATATGGCTTTGAAGAAAATCTAAAAAACCCCTAGATTTTCCTCAAAATCCGGAGATTGTGTTCCTTGATCTTTGTGACATTGTGAAAATATATTTTCACAATGTCAAATATGGTTATAACTATATTTGTATTAAATATGTTTTGTATGAACGTTTCATTATTTGAGACGTATTGCTAGTAATCGTCCATTAAACGAACTGCATCAGGTGAAAAGCAGGTCGTTACTCCTTTGGGTTTGTTTGAACGTATAGGAGTTCCACTTAGATCCAAAAACGCTCATTAACTAAACAATTAGAGGTTTTTATTCTGTTGTCAATGTTCATGTTTTAATTACCAGCAGTTTACCACGCGAACATGTCAATCATGCACATCACTTATTATCCGTTCTCAACAATTTGGCATAATCATCCAGCTTCCCAACTATGTCTTAGGCGGGGAAAATTTAAAATTCTTGGCCCACAATATTAGGACATACAGTATTTAGTCACTGGATGACTAATTTAAGGCCACTAGGAATTTCAGTGAGCCAGATTCAGTGAATGTACTTCGTTATTTCTTGGGAATGGTTACTTTGTTGCAACCTTTGTTGAACACTTTGAAGGGACATGTTAACAACTTTATGTTATCCTCAAGAGCCAAACTCACTTTCTCTTCCGTAATAACATTAAACTCAACAATAATGCTGTCTTACATGACCCCATAAATTTTATGTACCGACGCGTCACATATCAGTAGGCTCACTGTTTTGTTGAAAGGTTGACAACTAAATATGATCATCAGCGTTTTTCTTAAGGCATTAGGTTCAGCCTGGATAATGGCTAACCAAATCGTTTGTTCGAGCTCTGACTTTGCAACTCCAAGCTTTTACTACCTGAAGTTTTGTATTAATGTGATATAATACAGGGTGCATTACACTGTCCTAGTGGTACGTTGGCTTTGTATTAACTGCGTATTGGCGGACAAGGTCATCAAAATTTTCATTTCTAGAGGAATGTTTGTCGTGATGCCATTTATGCTCAGTAGTCCGAAAAAAATTACTTCAGTCATTAACTGGGTGTAGACATTAATGGGCTTTCCTTTGTTAACATCAGCTAGCAAGTGGTCAGAAAATTGGTTCCCAAAATAAAGTAAAGAACATCAACTATAATGAACATTTAACTGAAAGGACTTCTAATCCCGAGGCATGTAACTGTTCTCTGAAAGTTTTTATCGTCCTTTTTTTACTGCATTCAATGAATACTTGCCACTATTTATTACTGGTCGTTTGGTTAGTGTAACTAGAATTAAGCTGATTATTGCACCCTTGCACACCAAGAGGTGCGAACCTGAAATCTTATCCAGCACAAAGAAAAGTGGACTAGATAGTTGACAAGCAACAACCGCCACCATTACTACCTGTCCACACCGTTTCCTGACATGCGGAAAGATCTGAAAATTTGCATGTAGTAACACTTTGTGACCTTTTTACTACGCCTTTTATAGTAACACCATTCTCATTCTTTAACTATCAGTGTTTTAGGACACTGGCTCTTACCATTCTGGTTTCGGGACCCAGAACGGCATATTCTTGCCGATGTTAGAAATAAACAGTCGCAAACGATCTAAACTCGACACTAGACTAGGAACATTTGTTATGCATTGAATACGAAAACCTAGTAGCTGTGAGGTCAGCGATAAAATTTTCGGTCCTGGTGCATTATTCACCATGTCCAATATCGTTTAAATGTGATATGGTACTTGTTCATTCCAAAATTATATAAGTCTAACAGTTTGTTAGATAAACAGTCTGTTGAGCTCAGGTTGGTAGTCTCTGCATCCATATCTGTTTTGAAAACCCATCAACGTTGTAGGGATCAATCAATTACTTCATTCGATGTAATAACTGGAACGGTTACCCGTCCCCTAGCCCGTGCTCAATTAGTAATTTCTATGAGTTTTCGTCTAACTTGGTGGTGTGTTGAATGATCGTCTGCTTTAGCTCATCATAAACGTAGGATAATGGAACATTATTTGTGGGATCTGAAACTTTCGTGGCTACCTTGGTAGATAATATTTCCAACACAACAGATCGCCTTAAAGCCTATAGATGGATATTCTAACACCGAAGCTGTACCTCAGCGTGTGTGAATCATGTTTCATGGTTAATTCCACTAAACATACGCCCATTCATAGAATTTAGTGCATTCAGCTCTGGTGATATGCTAGACCAGGCATACCCACAGGTGTGATTAATATAATCACGCTCTGACGTATCCATAAGGAAGTATGCAAAAAACTATTACTACGAGTGAAATTAATGTGAAATTGTATATTCGTGAATTCAAAATTTCAATTTTAGAAAGCGATAGGGCTCATAAGATTTGTAGTTGCCCAAACACAAGGACCTAGTCAAAATATATTGGTACATAAAAACCAATAGTTACATACAAGTGACAAAACAAGGAGAATTAAATTCTAAAGAAAGATGCATAATGAATGGCAAAACGGTAGTGAATATTACTTGAAAGTTCTTTTTGAAAAGAAACCGGAAATAGGATCGTTTCACTGAGTCGATGTTCATCTATGTGCCTGGTGCATTTAACCAGTAATGAAAACGTTGTCATGCATCTGCATTAATAATTAGTTATCGAAATATCGCATCTTCCATAAAAATACTGATGGTTTCGGTTTTTCCTTAGGTCGAAAGGCATGTACTCTCTATGTCTCATTTGAAACATAATTATCTGTAATGTTAATTAAATCTACTAAAAGTCAACATTAAAAATATTGAGATCATACAACTATGTTGTATAAAGAGTTTTAAATAATTAGAAACAATCCTTATTGTCTTTTAAGTTAATTTAGAAAGTCGGAGATGAGGATTTCAACTGCAAAGTTTGTTTAAGATATATCACGGAATGTGATAGGATGGAGTTATTTTGCTAAAAAAAAATAGGGTATTAAATGATTAAAATGAGTACGTTCTGTCAATAAAAATTGAAGCAAAATAAATAGTGTCAATAATGAAGTTGATCATTCTTGTATGTCAACTACCATCCGTTATTATTCTTAATTGTTTTCAGGGCTCTAAATTTTTCATATAGTACTACGGACCTTATTATGGTTAGTATTACCGTAATATGCACATTTTCGTCTTTCAAGGTTACTCATTATTGGGTTGTCTATTTTATGTAGGGTTAACAATGAAGGTTGGATGTATTCAGACATACGGTAATCAATTCAAAATATTTTTTTATAAAATAACATTCAAGATGCTTCTATGCTTACCTATGATCATATCGAAGCTTCCAATGTAATACAGTTAGCTAAGGAACTTACAAATACAAAACTACCAACAGATATTGAAGTAAGTAATAAATATAGTGTTAGATATCTTCATCAATGTTACTTCGTTTTTTTTTGTCTTCAGGTGGAATGGCTGTTAAAAGCAATTTGCTTAATCGATTTAACCACATTAGCTGGGGATGATACACCTGTCAATGTACAAAGACTTTGTGTAAAATCAGTTCATCCGCTAAGTGAATGCGTTTTGAATAAAATTGAAAATGCGTTCAATATGAACCTACAAGATTTAAGTAACAATCTGTTTTATATAGTTTAACATATCTAATTATCTATCGAATAGGAACAGCTGCTGTATGTGTTTATCCATATCAAGTTAAAACATGTACAGAAACTTTTAAGAAATTAAAATTACCAAATTTTAATATTGCTTCTGGTTAATTATCTTTTTAAATCTAATCTTTAACTATGATAAATATAGTTGCTACTGGTTTTCCTACTGGACAGTATCCCTTAGAAACTCGGCTATTGGAAATTAAATCAGCTATAAATGATGGAGCGAATGAAATTGATGTGGTAATAAATAGAACATTAGCTTTACAAGGTGATTGGGAAGGTAATTAACAATGTACGAAGTCTCTTTACTGTCCAATTCTTTTATTAAATTCAATGTCCATATAATTCATTATGCTTTCTTTACTGCACTCACATATAAGTCTACTATATATAACATAGAATTTGGTGATTTTTTTGCGAAAGTAAAAGGTGGGGATGAGTATTTAATTCTACGACCGATTTTTGGTGTTTTAATACAGGAGTTAAAAAAAATTGACGAACGTTGTGTATATCAGTTCACGAATTTCGAAGAAATTTATGATGGAGAATTTTATTGGTCACTGATTACTATGATAATGTAACCTGACTTTGCTGTACTATATTGTCAATTAAACCGTCAACTCAAAGTCGCAAAGAAAGGCACACTTACGATAGACTACTTTTTGGTCTAGATCAAAAGACAGTATTTCAATTCTTGGAAACTCTATGACTTTAAGTGAAGATTCCACTGATATTTTCTGTCGCAAGCGCTGCCTTACTTCTGTCTTTTGTATCGAAAATAAATCTTTCAACTAAGTTAAAAGAAGTGGAACGGTTCGTCTATGTCAAACCGAACGTTATTTAATCAACTTCACATGTATTCTGTCAAACTAGGATGAGATATCTGTCTAGTAATCTCTGATTCTCCAGCTAGAGATGATCTGTGCTTAACTCTATTTTTAGTCCATATAACTATAGAACTCGGTTTGTACTAATTTTTATTTCATTCTCTCTCATTTTCCTAGTTTTGACCAATTTAGGCATAGGTAATAATTTCTGCTATATTTGAGTTTAAAAGCTAATAGTAGGTTTGCACCTTAAATATCTCCTAGTTCATATTTCATGGTTGTAGTTAAATGAATACTACTGATATGTACCAAGAATTAGTGGTAAATAAAATTCACTTTGGTCCAATCTGCTAGGCGTATAACTTGAAAGGTTATCACGGAGTATCTTCCAAATATTCTCACATCTTTTGTTTTTGAATGAACTGTTATATCTCTGATATATTGTTGCACAAACAGTAAAGGATTTCATAATAATGATCACGATGATATTTTTAAAACTATGGTTATTTAAAGGGTCTTTTACACTAGTCAATTCCTCGAACAACTTGTTTATTAGGTGTAATTTCATTGGAAACTTAGCTGAGTAGGAATGTCTATCATCCATCTTCGTTTGTGAATGTTTAATTATGGTGTCAGCTTAGAATTTAGTCTTTCCTTCAACAATCCGTCTTATCGTCATTACCAGATTATCATGCTAGACGTGTGTTAACTGGTCATACACATTTGACACATTGTTTGGCCTAAACAAAGCTTTATTAGATTTATGGAGCTTGACAAGTTGAGTGAAGTTTTAATTGACAGACCAATACATAATGCAGTGGAGTAACCGAAGTTAAAAAACAAAACTTTATTCCTTATTTGTTCTTATGATTTTCTTATTTCACTGATTATTAAAAGTTCGTAAAATCTTTCTCATATTCTAGGAGTTTATAATGAAGTATGTGCGATGCGTAAAGCTTGTGGTGATCAAGCACACTTAAAGACTATTCTTGCTACTGGTGAATTAAGCAGTTATGATAATGTTTATAAGGCTTCAATGGTTTGTATGTTAGCTGGAGCAGATTTTATTAAAACATCTACTGGAAAAGAAACAGTCAATGCAACACTCCCAATTTCATTGGTTATGGCTAGAGCTATTCAAGATTTCAATGAAGTATATGGCATCAAGGTAAAGTTAGAAATTGGCATAGCAAAGATGTTTATGGATTTCGCTTCGTTAAATTCAGTTTGTAGTCAATGGATGATTTTTTTCGTCCAGACTAAATACCTAATACGGAACTTCTTAGGATTACATTTACTGCTGTTGTAGGGTCTATTAATAGGTTACAGAGTAGTCATCTTCGCTAATAATCATCTTCAATGTAAATAAAGTATATGGTAGTGTTTATGTGTATTTTAGCTTTATTAGTAGTAATTTTTTTCCGATAGCAGTCTAGCTATGTATACTTTGACCGACAGTTTGTAGGTTAAAGGACAACAGTTTCAACTATTGGGTTACGAGTTCCATTTACACCTTAATTGAGGTAATCAAAGAATATCCACTAACTATTAACTCATTTATCACGTACAGATTCGCGTTCTCGTGAAGGTTAGTAATACGTGGTTTCCGAAACTGAGGTATTTGGGTAGGGTTTGAACTTGCGATTTTGCTAGTGAACGTTGAACTCTTTAACTACTGAGGTACCAGTTAAGTCCGGATAAATAAATAACGATGCGTACTACTACCTCACACCAAGTATAGCTTAAAGTCAATTTTTTTAAAATTTGTACTTAGTAAATAAGTTGAATTAAAGTCTAAAATATGCTTCATTGTGTTAAAGACAGAAGTTATAGAGGAAATAACGTATGTTTTGTTTTTATTCTTCGTGATTAGTTAACCATAACGGTAATATCTGAAAGAGGTTAAGTTGAAAAACTGATATTTTTTATATGTAAGAACAAGAATCAGAATTGAACTGTTCTGTAATCCGCATGATTCATTCATATCATTATCAACAATTTCAATTAGATTACACACTCTTAAGTCCAACTATTTCGTTTTCTGATAAGAAAAAAAAAACACAAACTTCGTATGATTGTGTTATCTAGACTTGTTAGTTTACATCAAATTGCGAATCTTATCGAGATTTACTAGTAAACTGATGGCTGTGTTATTTTTGATGCAATGCCATATGCCTCAAAATACTAAGCTGACTGTAGGCAGTAGAATTAGATTGTAAATAGAGTATAAAATGTGATCATGATTCATAAAGTCACTGTTTTATGATATGAGATTAGCAAAGTTGTACAGATTTCTTGAATAAGATCTTTGTAATAACAAGACTGAGTGGATTTTTACCCTAAATTTCGTAACTTAGAATAATTCACAAAGTGGAACATACGTCCAATCTTTGTCTTGATAAAAATATTATTATTTTTTAAAATCTTGGTATCGTTTAGTTTGAAATTTGTAAAGTCTGGCAGCTTAGACTTACGCTTGATCATATAAGGTGATTCTATGTGTTGACTTTTCTGTCTGAATAGTCTGTTTACTGAATAAATGCTTTACACTACATATTTTCATACGTTATATATAATTACGTTTAGAAAATTGGTTTATTACAGTGTTATATTTTGCATGGAGGATTTTTTATTGATGCGTCGTGTATCAATAGTCCGGTCTGTTTATTTCTCATAGATCCCGTTCGTATGAAAAGAATTCTTCGATTGTCTTCTATCGAACCTTTACAAAATAACTCACTAATAATAATAATAATAATAATAATAATAATAATAATAATAATAATAATAATAATAATAATATTGATAGAGATCATGAATCAACCAATGTTAGACCACCATTGAACACCTGAAAGTACCGGACGGCCGTTTCATCCTAGTATAGGACTCCTCAAAAGTGCACACCCACAATCCTGCACGTGGGATTCGAACTCAGGACCTTCGGTCTCGCGCGCGAACGATTAACCCCTAAACCACTGAGCCGAGTGTAAAGCAGTTACCCACCGAAAACAATGGAAGATGGTCGCTCAATTTCCTGAATTGGCTGAAGTTAGTTATTAACCCCGTTGGATGCCAGTCCAACGGTCTAGAGGTTGATTGTTCGCTCACGAGACCGAAGGTTCTAGGTTCTAGTTGAGCATGCGTGATCATGGATGCGCATTACTGTTGAGTCTAATACCAGGACGAAACGGTCATTCAATGCTCCCAGGTTTTCAATAGTCGTCTAACATTGATTGATTCATGATCTCAATCACAATTCAACAATCTACACAACTTTATACTAATAATAATATTAATGGCAATTGATTATTAAAAATAATATAATGCTATATTTGTATGAGATTTTCATGAACTTTAAATGATACATTTAAGAGTGATCAGTTCAACTTTGTTTTATTGATCTTTTTTTCGGTTCATATTTACATATTTATTTATTTATTTTCATTTCAACACATAAATATTGGTACAAGAGTGCACCAAATATATATGTGCCACACCATACTTGTGTGTGTGTGGGCTGTGATACTACCCGGGTGCCCAGACCGAAGCAGGTGGTTTTCTTAAAGGGCCACACCCCGAGCCTGTGACCTAAAGGTCTGATCCACAAGGCAGTGGAGCATCGTGAGGAGATGCATTCCCATGGTAGCCGGTGACCAATGATTGGTTCATACGCCATTTGTTCCTGCAGGATACTGGAGCCCATGTGCACCATTGGTTTGGAATCCGGTTAAAGCGCCAGACATTCGCTTTTCGTCCTCTCGTTTTCGTAAACAACACCCCTGCCACGAGGAGGCAGTGAGTAGTATTTCCCTCGCAGAGGCTATATGCGCGTGACTGTGTGAGAGCATTTTGAGAGGGAGGGCGGGCCCTCCATACTCTCGGACTTATCAGGGCATTTGGGGGCGTCACTTTGTTAAATTCATTTTGATATTTGATGGATGATTTAGTTTTTGATAAGTTGTATTATTATGTATAGATGATGGTTTTCACTTCCTACTTATTATTTAATCATTGGAAACTAAAAATTATTTGGTAACCATTTCATCATAGTATAGGAATTCTCATCAGTGAGCATTCTAAGCTTCACAGGGAGGAGGTTAAACTCTAGTCTTTCAGGTTTCAGGGCAGCTGCTTAAGCTTTAGGTCTCCGAGTCAACATTCAATAATTAGCATTTCTAACGTAGAGCTCGGTCTTCAGTTCGAACCCAAGTGGAAGTCTTAAGTGCATGTTGCTGAGAAGCTCCATACCAAGACGAAACAGCTGTTTGGTGCTTTCTGGTTTTTCAACGGTTATCTAACTAGGGTCAGTCAGTGATGTAAACTATAGAATTTGAGTCTCCACAAGTTTTTCATACTAATAATACTCAATCATTTAATCAGTTGTTTTATCTTTTAGTATTTACGTTTAATTGAAATTTTGGGAAAGGTTCCGTAAGCGCGTTATTCATTGAATCTTCTCAATCCTTTACTCAATCATAACACATTTTAGCTTTGCATACAAACTATTTCATATATGAATGTTTTCGCTTAGAAATCGTCCATGATATTACTCATTCATTTCTGAAGCTGATCAAAATACTCACTTAAACAATATTTTACCGCTTTGAAATCCATTCTATGAACAAATGACCGGTTCGACTTCAGTTATTTTAGCATTTTTATCAAGTCAGCTCAGTAGTTATTAAACATACATAAAATCGGTCAACTTACATTAAAAAAATGTTATGTACATTCACTTTTATTACGCATTAACTATCAGTCTAATTGAAAAGTTTCGTAGGAATTTATTATATTTGTAGGTTTTATTCGTCACAGATAGTCTCATTTAGTGTACCATTAAACGGCAGGGCTCATAGGACGACTGGTTTATCTCACTAGTGAGCATACTCGACCCACTTAGGGATCATCGAATTATATCCTGAATTAAAACTGTACTATGGGACTTGATATAACGATTCTAATGGTTAACCATTCACAGAGACCTGAAGGTCCTGGATTCGGTCAGTATGAATGTAGTGAGTGCCCACTTTTGAGGATTCATACTAGAACGAAACCGTTGTTCAGTGTTTTCTTGTTTTTCAATGTAACCTCAATTGTCATCAATTTGTAATCAATACAATTTATCAGTTTAAATGTTTGGAATCAATTATTTAAACATTTACTTTTAATACTTATTCCTTAACAAACTATTTAGGTTGGTTTCAAACCTGCCGGTGGTCTTCGTACAGCTAAAGATGCCATCGATTATCTCCAATTAATCGATAATATTCTTGGCTCTGATTGGATAAATCCAGATTATTTACGATTTGGAGCTAGTTCATTATTGGCCAATATTGAAACTCGACTATACAGTCTATGCCATAATGGTTTAATACCATTACCTGGTGAATTAGACTTTTTCTAATTTTTGATTACCTTTTTTCTTCTTCTTGTTTTCTTTCAATTTATTCGATTTGATTATTTTTGATTATGTTTGCCTTAATTTTGTTGTTGTTGAAAAAAAAGGTCGTTTCTATCAATTTTTAAAAAAAAAAATTTTGATAAACCAAACGCTATTTATATTTTGTACACATTTCGTTTTGACTATAAAAAGAATACAAAGAGGTGTGGTGATAGAAGTAGAGAGGAAAGCAAAACGAAAAAAAATACAACAACAACAACTGTATGTTTAGTCAATAGGTTTTTTTTTGTTTAACGAAAAAAAAGAGAAATAAATGACAAGGGATTTCTATTTACGCCTATTCTCATTTGTTCCTTGTCGATTTTCACTGTGAATCCCTCTGACACTTACTTTTTAGGTTTGTGTGTATCATATATATATATATATATATATATATATATATATATATATATATATATATCCTTTCAGAGAAAGGTCAGAGGACGAAACCAAAGTGAAGAAACTTAGGAAAGTTAACAAAACCATGAAGTATAGTAATGAATGAATAGAGAAAAACAAAAAAAGAGAAGTAAATCCATAATAAACAAAAAATCAATACATTTTATCACATTGTATACCTTTTATTTTCTACATATTTCTTCAACATCCTCTTTCTATTAATAAATATTATTGTGAACATTCAATAATAATGATAATAATCCAAGATAATTGTATATTATATTCGATTAATCGATATAGAGACATGTGGGTGGGTGTGTATGTATGTAAAACATTAAGATAATAATGAGAAATGTATTCATGTATGATTGATTGATTGCCGGCTTTAAGTAGTATTCATCATAATACGTACACGAGAACATGTAGCTGGTCATGTTTTATTTTCTTCTTCTTCTTCAAATAACTATTATAATCCTTATGATATACATTTATTGAGAATGATGTTTGAATGTGTTTATAAAGTTAGATGGAAATCATGAATACAGGAACAACAATAAAATCAAAGAGATTAGATTACACAAATACAACAAATATAAATGAAGTTAATCAGAAAATGATCATCAATCTGTTCTCCTATCGTCTTTTAATTATTAACTATGATTAGTGAAATACTTGCAAAAAAAAATATAAAGAAAGATAATACACATAAAACATCGTTATTATGATGATGGGTAGTGGGGATCACTATCAAAAACACGAACGTCAGTAATTGCATTCTTCTTCTATATATATATCTCTCTCTCTACAATTCGTGTACATGAAACAATGTAAACCACTAATGAAAAATGATAGGTTTCTCTGAACACATTTTTCCTCCCTTTAAATTCATGTCTGTCACTTGTAAACATTATGATGTATATATCTTTCAACTTAAGGGATAGACAAAAACTGTAATAGGGATCAGGAAATGCGAAAAGAAATTGAGCAATGTTATGCACATATATATATATATATATATATATATATATATATATATATATATATATATATATATATATATATATATATATATATATATATATATATATGGTATGAAACTAAACGCATATAAGTACAATAAATACATCATGAAATGTGAGAAGGATTCTCAACTTTTACTCTTCATGGAAGTGTGTATAATGGAGAGAAAGCGAACGAACGAGAGAGAGAATGAGGTGGATATAATCGTCGGCAGTGTTCTATCAAGACATAAAATCCCTTTGCTACTCGCAGAGACAGAGAGAGAGAAAGTGAGTGAAAAAGTACAAGATGGTTAATAATATGATATTTTTTGATTGTTTATTCATAAACATATTGGATACAATAGAGGATGAAACCAGATTATAAAATGGTAAATAATACTAGATTTTCAATAAAAGATTATAAAATTTCAATATACATCAACATATATATATATATATATATATATATATATATATATATATCTGCAATGTTAATTGTTTCTATGTGTTTTATGATATCGCTATTCATTTAACATATATGAGAGAGAGAGAGAGAGAGGTAAGCTTATTCATCACTAATTAAAAAATCAAAAATAATCATTATGAAAAAGAGAATCTATGTGAAAATGTATGGGAACAGGGAAACAATTCCAATTGAATGATCAATAAATGATATATTATTTGAAATAAATCCAGTTCAGAAATGCAGAATTCAAATAAGTGTATATACACATGATGTGTTTTAGTGGTTTTGATCAATTTATTCATTCATTATTTTCTTCTTCATTATTATTCTCATTAATTTGATTATAATACCATTCACGATTGTCTTCTAATGTTTCTAAAATAGTTTGTGCATCTGGATAAACTAAATCCGACCATGTTTCCCATAATGGATGAACAATGTAATCAATAAAGCTGATCTATTGGGTACGTGCATGTATGTACAGGATATATAACAGATTTGTCAGTAAAACGGCAAATTTTGTTCAGCAGTGGTGGTAGGAGTGATAAAAGAGTAACCGAAATAAAAATAAACAGAAATCGGAAAGAAGAGCATTATAGAAGAAGCGGAATTTTTAAAAAAATAAAAGTTTGAAACGAGATTTAGTTTTGTATTATATTTTTGAATAGCGACTATTATTGGAATCAAGGATATGCATTTTGTCTTATTCGGAAATCTGAATTTAGCTGCCAACTAGTTGGTTGGGATAACCTTTTATTACAGCCCAACCAAGCAATGTTTTCTGGAATACTCGTTTCATCAGTTCCTATGCTAAGGAGGCCTGTTGGAAAACGGGGAATCTTGTAGTGTCTGGTATTATGTCGAGACCACATTGGTTCCGGTCAGACCGGTTTATTCGAGCCACATTTCGACCTTGTTGATTATTCGCTTATTAACCTTGACTGCCTTTATATGAGTGTATATGTGTGCACTGCTTATCCTACTCATTACATGACTAAATATTGGGTCACGCTTGGTTAAATCGAGTTGGCTCAATTGTTGTCTTCGCTTCGCTTTCTCCACTTCGTTTCTCTGATGGTCTGTTCTGATCAACGAGTGTACGAAGTGTACGTATTCAAACTTCATTCTCGTATTTGACTTATTTAATTCCGTTATTCACTAACATTATTCAAGTCGATAATTATATACGAGAGTAGCTAGGATGTATATTTCGGTAACATCATCATACAGTTAAATTTAAGATCAAGGCCTATAAAAGTGGTAAGCCCAACTTCGAACTAAAGGCAACCTGAAAAACTACACAGATGATAAATATTCCGAACTCTGTGCATTCAATGAATGAACTTCTTTTGTTCATCTAAATGATGTATGGAAAAACGCATGTTTTAGTCTTGAAGGTACAATAAATGTCTATGGAGTTGTTGATTATCAAAAAATGGCAATCCCATTGAGATAAGGAGGGGACTGTTACTGATTGTTCTTAGAAATTTAACATGTACAAATGTTTAGATTGTATGGTGAGGCCCAGGACAGAGTGGGATGGGGAATGCTGGTCGGCGGCCTATGCTCCATTGGGAGTAACAGGCTTAAGTAGGTAAGTAAGTAAATCTATCCAGCTCAAACTAGATCTAACCTGGTATTTGATGGGATGGGAGAATTCAATGACTAGTCAAATTCGATCATAAGTTATTGATGAGTGTTTCTACATTATTGATAAAAATTTTCGACGTTTGCATAGAAGCTCCTTGCATTTTGGAGAATTGTGTAAGTCCCATACAAAGGGTTGGCGATTTGAGTATTTTATTCAGTAGATAAGAATGATAAAATATTGCTCTGTTTATATTGTAAGTGTAATGATGATCTGATTTGATTTTGATGGTGTAGAAAACTGGCAGAATTCATACTAATAAACCAATGATGAATACTTTATGTAATACTCCTTAAGAGAATATCAAGTGTACCATGATGTACACAGTGTTGTATTAGTTGTCTATGTAAAGGACTGTTACATTTTCTCAAGTTAGTCTAAAGTGTTATATTCGTTATTCATTAAATTGAGAACAGCGATTTACTTCATTCATCATTATACTGAAGAAGGCTATTTCAGTGGTACACAATTGTAATAGCTAACAGGACTGAATTAAGGAGCTGAAATGCTATTCAAGTTTTCTATTATGCTCTGGTACGGTCGATGGTGGGGAGAGTCCGCTATTCCTCTTGAAATGCTTCCACATGGCCACACCTATACAGTCACTGCTAGGGAAGTCTTACTAGCTTATTGTGAAGGGGTGCCTTAACCGGGTTGACAGATACAGAGGATCCACCTAAAGGAGTTTGAAAACCCTGGTTCCAAACCAATGATGCACATGGGCTTCAGGATCTTGACGAAGAAAATGGCTTATGAACCTGTTGTTGGTTACCGGCTACTACGAGATTGCATCTTCTAACGTTGCTTCACTGCCTTGTGGACTAGATCTTTAGATCAAAGGTTGGAGGGGTGGCCCCCTAAGAAAACTATGTGCTTCGGTTTGGGCGGTCGTAAAGTGTTTTAGACCCCACACAAATCGAATAAAGTGTGGTATGTATATATATTTGATGCCTCCTTGTATCAATGTTTAAATGTCTAAATAAATAACATCACTGACCAATATACAATTGATATAATATTGTCACTTAAGATCTAGTATATTTGTGAACGTGTGTTTATAGGGTATTCAACTCATTAAATATTTACGTGAATTTTCTTTTTCTAACACAAATTGAATTCAATTAATACCATCGTTAAATAAGTTAAATAGTTGAAAAGTTTAAATTAGCACAAATATTAATCAACATATGATCACTAGTGACTGGCTTCACGATATATATTCTGGAGTTCCAGTGAGAAGCAGTGACTAGTGGATTTCAACCGGGTCTGTTGTGAGATAGTAACTCACTGAAGACAATGGTGAATGTGTCGCTCAATTTCTTGGATTAATTGAAGTTAAACATTAACACCGTTGGATGCCGGCCGACAAGGTGGTCTAGTGGTTAAGTGCTCGCGCGCGAAACCAGTAGGTCCTGGGTTCAAGTCTCGTGAGGCGAGGTCGTGGATGCGCACTTCTGAGGAGTCCCACAATCGGACGAAACGGCCGTCCAGTGTTCTAGGTTGTCCATGGTGGTCTAGCCTCAACTGACTCATGATCTTAACTATTGGAACTTTCTTTTTCTAACACAAATTGAATTCAATTAATACCATCGTTAAATAAGTTAAATAATTGAAAAGTTTAAATTAGCACAAATATTATATCCTATGTATGTATCATATAAATTACCTGGGATTTTTCAATAGTTGCTGTATTTCGATCACATATTGGACTTATTTCAATGCCTAATTCACGTTCTTTATCACCTTGTTGAAAAAGTTCTTCCATAACACGATTAGTCCATTGTCTATACAAATCTAATGGTTTAGCTGGATTACTTAAATCAGCACAATGTACCATATTTTGTAAAATCTAATGGAGAGGTAATAGAGAGATGAATGTATAAGACTAAATAATAAATGTACTTTGATGAATGGACAATATGATTTCAAAAGGATGGATGAATTCTTAGAATAGAAAAGTAGAAAATAATTTTATAAATTAAAATCTGGGTCATTGCAACCGATTCGAAGGTATGTAACCAAAATTATTCAACCAATGGTTACAATAATCATAATGAGGATCGTGATCTGGCATTCTTCATTGATCAACACAGCTCAATGCAACAGTCAATAACTTCATAGGGTGATGCCACATCTTAAATTTTTCCTCTCTTATCTTTTCTTTCAGTCTACTCCTATATCGATCAAGTAAATGGCTCTGGTCTATTGTAACTGATTAGACGCTACGTATAGCAAAGTTTCGAATCACTGATCGCTGTTATCTTGCTAACCCAAACCAAGCAAAGTTTTCATCTTTGTTTATGATTGATTCTTGTTTGCTCAAGTTTATTAGTCAATTTATAATCATAGCCATTTATTTATTTCTGGATTCATACCAAAATATAAAATTTATAGACTTAAGAAATAATCTATAACTCTGTGACTAGAAGAAATGTTTGAATGATTTGTTGCTTGATCAGTTGACATTACAGTTTAATAGTCTAAGCAATTAATGTCTCAATACCATATTTAGTCGTACAGTACCATTAACACTAAAAACTATGCTTATTTTATATCTGAGAACATGTATTTACACTTGGATACTGATTTACACTCATGTATTATTGTAAACCATTTAACTTTTATCAATGAAATAAGTTTCTAGAAATTATTGAGGATCATAGTTTATGATGTTACGAACTGATCTTAGCTAGATAACTATTGGAAACCAGGAAGCACTGAATAACTATTTCATCCTGTTATGGGTTTAATTTCGGATAGAGTCGTAGATTTATACTGTTGAGGAGTCCTATACTACGATGAAACATGCATCAAGTGCAGTTTTCTTTGTTTTCAATGGTTGTCTAACTAAGATCACTTTGTCATGTAAACTTT